TTCTCCCAGCTCCTCCGTCAGCCTTTACCTGGAGGGCCTGTCTCTTCCCAGGGCAGCTCTGGCACATGCGACCGGCCTGACGTCAGGATATTTTGCAGCTTTCTGAAAAGGCTCCCACCGCATGATGTATTCGGCCGCGTGGTGCGCGAGAACCGCAGCCGCCGAATGCGGTGGGTGCCAGCCCCAGCCTCGCGCCTTGCACCCCCCGCCGCTCCCATTCACGCTGCAAGCTTCCTTACGACCAGACCCGTGGTCCCACAGCTGAACTACGGGAAGTCTAAGTACAGGCTGGGAGCGTGAGATTATTGAGAAAATTAGCCAAAAAAGAAAATTTAGATCTATGACTAAATTAATCCCCAGATTAACACTATCAAAGCAAATGGTGTTTATAGAAAGTCTTGTTTTCTTTATATTCATGCGAGAGAAAATAAAAAGAATGCTAAAGGCAAATTTCATCTAGCAGAATTGGAAAAGAGAGCATGGGGACAAAGCTATAATTACTGGTATTTCCTATCTGTTGAAACCTGTGGGTGGAAAGAGAGGCAGTGAATAGAGTATATTCAATGGCATTAAAATCGTTTTCTTTTTCTGGACTTTAGCTCAACGCTGCAAATTAGCAGGGAGAAAATAAGCCTCAGAGTGAACGGGCAGAGAAGCCAACTTCTTCGTGTTACTCTTTGCTGTTAGGGAAAAAAGCATTTTTTTCCTTCAAGAACTCAAATTCCTAGCAACCCAAACTACAGCTGCATGCTGACAAGAAGAGAACGTACGGCAGATCTCAAGTGGTTCAGTGTTCATGCGTCCACACACAATTATCCTGCTTTCCCTTCTAAACATGTTATTTTAATGAAGAGAGGACAGGCATGCTGTTTAATTAACTCCTGCTTTCAAAAAAAAAAAAAAAAAAAGATATTCTGTCCCAGATTAATCATGTTCCAACTTAGGCACCTGCAGAGGTACCTGACTTCAGAGCATCCCATGTACCATCAGTGGAAGGGGTAAGACCCTCCCGATCACGATTCGGACCACCAGGTATCAGAATTGCCATTGCTAGGTGCTCATCTCTTTCCACAAACTATTGCAGGTGCTTGGGATAACTGCTCCTAAGCCAGCCATCTCACCAAACTAAGAAGGATGAGTCCAGACCTTAACATACCTCTACTTATCACTGTCATCCCACGGCAAATTTCTCTTTTAAGCCATAGCTATTATTTGACTGAAAGCCGATAGAAAAATAGGCACAATTAAAACATCTTTTTCTTACAGCAAAAAAAAATCTGTCTTGCAGTTTGAGATCATGGCATAGACCTGAATTATTCTGAATAAGTCCTATGTCATAAAACATTTGCTTAGTTCCTAATTTATTTTCACAACAGTTAGTAAGTGGAATACTTTGAGGCTGAATTTTCTGTAAAGGTTTAAAAGTAGAAGTAAAAATGGCTGAGAGGTAGCTAAGATAAAAAGTGGTGTATTATTGTTATTAATAATAGTGGTAATAATAATATTAATGTTGTTGTTGTGAGTGTAATGCAGGGTTGAGTAGTTGCTCTGTAAACAAGAAATTCTATGTGAAGCATCTACCTTTGGGTATCTGTCAGTCCCATTATTCTCCAAACCCACCTAAGATACTGCAAGCTATAGTAGGAAATCCTGCTTAGAATAAAATAATAGTTTTAACTATTAGATTTATAATGGCTTTAATACAGCCTGTTCCTACATGCAACAATATTGATTCGTATTAGGTTACTGTTTAAGGTGGATTTTTGCCCTCTAGAATGTGATTTCATATTTAATTAATGCTGCTTCAGTCAAGCTAGGCATGTCACGGGAACAACACATTTCCTAAACGTTTTTGCAAATGGGTTACAGTTTCGCTTTACCTATTAGAGTCCTCTATTTAATGATTATCAAGCCTTAAATGAAAACCAGAAAAAAACAAATGGCTTGCTCTCCTCTGCATTTCTCTCCCTGGGCATGCACAGCCAGACATGCCGCTATCCTTCTTATCCCGTGCTTGCTTAGCCTCGCTGGCTGTCAAAGCCAAGCCCAGCCTGTGATCCCAAATCGATGGCAGCAGGACACTAAAAAAGGGTGCGCAGTGCTTCACGGAGACGCCCTACGCAACGCTGGGGCCAGGGAAGGGATTGCATCTTTGTGTTTGTTTCTTTCAAGAACCTGTCGATGTACTGTCAGAATTACAAATAAGGGGGTTTGGGTTTGGGTTTTTTTTTTTTGTCTACTGAACTTTGGTATGTCTTGATGCATGGTGTTTTATCTTCAAAATCCTACCTCAGCAACACACATGTGGATTACAGCATCCAAAGGAACAAGTCAGGTGTGGCCCTATTTAAAAGACGTGTCTTCTGTTTAAGATTTAACTGTGATTCATAGCTAATTATTTTAAACTTGTCACCATGGTACCAACACAAAATCCCTAGAAATACAAAGTGACTTCTGAAAACCTGCCCCGGCTCCCAGATCCTCACCGCTGAGGCACACTGGCTAGCTCTGCATCCGCTCGGGGAAATTCCCTATGTGCAGCCCTCAGGTGGGCTTTACCTTGGCTCCAGAGCAGGTTCGGACAATATTATCCATGCCAGCCGCTTGGGTTTTCGGCTTCCATCCCAGCCCCTGGCTCTACGCACAGGCCCAGCCTATCTTTAGCATCAGAGACCCCATGGAGAGGTTGCAGCAGCACAACCTCAACACACCCCAAAGTCAGGAAAACATCACCCCACCCCAAACACCAATTGCTGTCTCCTGAGGAAGAGGACGCACTTCTGGCTTTGCCCCCTTTGGCATGGCCCCGGCACTGCCCTTGGCCCTCGACATTTGCCAGCTCGAGAGGCCAAACCAGGCAGGCTGCACACGGGGCTTGTCTTTTTCTCTTCTCTTTTTGCCTCCACTTTGGAGCACTCGGTGCCCACCACCTTTCTTTAAATGCGCTTGCCCCATCTGGGTTATTTTGTCTCCTAAAACTCGTTCAGGGTTCCTGTGGGAGCTAATGTTTCTTGCTGAACGGACGCGGTTTTTAAAGAAAAGACAAGGAAACAACGATTTCCAGAGGTCCTCTCAGGAAGTTTATATTCTGTCTTTTTCCAGGGTGCGTTCACTTTCCACGGGAGCATGATCGACATGCCATTACTGAAGCAGGCGCAGAACATTGTTACGCTTGCCACAGCCATCAAGAAAAAATGAGCTGGTAAATGAAGGTCTCGCCATGGGGCCCCAGTAGCTGTTTTAAAAGATGATGGTAATACTTGGGTGGGTGGAGGGGGGGGAAATTAAAGATGTCGAGCTTAAGCAGAAATTCATTTCCGTTTTGCAGATCTGTCATAATTTGCTTGCCAGAATTGCTAATTACTAAAACTATCCCCGACTCAAACCGCTGCTCGCTCCTGCGCAGCCCACGTACTACTCATAGCCTGCAATGAAGTTACATCACCGCCTGTGCGACATCACGATAATTACTACGAATGCGGGACTGTGACTTCACTAAAGCAGACAGGCGAAACATAGGCTGCGAGCTCTGTTAAAAGAGCAGGTCGATCGCTTCTATTTGTCTCTACGCTTCTTCCCGCTCCGGTGCAGAACTCCCGTCAGAAAGGGGCAAAGCCTCAAATAATTGCGCACCGGTTGAAATAATTGCGATGAAAATCATTACCCCGGGCAGGCTTCATATCACACACACACACACCCCCCAGCTCTGTAAACATGCAACAGCCATTAAAAATATTGCTGTGACTACGCGGGACTCTTGACTTTCTTCTCTTTTCTGAAGCAGTCGCTATTCAGAGCGGTTTCCTCCTGGAAGCGTCCAGCCCGGGAAGGGTTGGACGGCAATAAACTTGTAGTTTTCGGAGGCACAATGCAGCAGAACTTGTGCATATGGTCTCGAGTCAGATTTACATCACATTAGGGATACGGCTACAGGTCATGTGGGCCGTGTGGTTAACGGGCTTAGTAAAGCTGTTTTGAAGAGGTTAACCCAGCTTGTAGTAAGGGTAAATAAACATAACAACCGGGCATTGTCCTCTATTCAGCATGTACTCTTATATGGAGGGCTAAAGGGTATTGAAGCTGCAGAGGATCAACTTGTGGTTGCCAGAGGACTCCAATGAAGTTTGAAACACCAACAATCAGAGATTTTGTTTCTGTTCCTCATTAAATCATGAGCTTTTGTGCTCAGACTATGAACGACTGTTCTTTAAGAAATTAACAGAATGGGAAGTTTTAAACTATGCACCAACCTTTTCATGACCTACACAGCAGCAATGCTGCTGCACTTAGACAAACACCGCGGGGAAGGCTGTTCTGTTTATTTAAATTTGTAAATAGAAAACAGTTGTTTTTTAGTTTCATTTTTTTCGCCGCCTCCATGGCCATTTTATGTATGGAGTCACAGCAGCTTATTCCTCCCATCTGCTCGCTTGGTTATGTTTCCCCTCCATCTCCGAGCAGCGATTTTAAACATTTTGGGTTATTTGGGGTTTAATTAAGGGGGGGGAGAAGGGAGGGGAAGAAACCACCGACCAACCCGTGTGGAAGCAGCAGGGCAAAGGAAGGAGGGGGCCATGGGGCAGATCCCCCCCACGGAGTTTGGGGATGCGCAGCATGGGCCAAGACCCCCACCCCACCCCAGATCCTCCCTTAACCGGGTTGCGCCGCACCGGGGGGGGTCCCATCCAGCGCGGGGACCTCCCAGCTAATTTGATAAATTAAAGGCTACCTGCTCATATTGCACCTCGCAGCACCCCCACCCCGCCCCACCCCAACCCCGCTTTCAGGGCACCCTCCCTTATTAATTCTTGGCTGGCTAAATGATGGGTAACACTACAAAAACATCATCCGAACTAATGAGAAACAATTACTTGGAAAGGCGAGCAGGGACAAGCCGGAGCGGGGCAGGGGTGTAGTTATCCCCGCAGATGATGTTCATAAATCATCAGGTGCGAGGCAAGAACGGCGGCGAGGCCTTGGCGCAGGGGAGGGGAGATGAGATTTATGAGATATAGGTTGGTTGGGGGTGCTTTTTTTTTGCTTTTTTTTTTTGCTTTTTTTTTTTTTTTTGCATAATTTTTTCATTAATCTTAATAGGAC